GTCTCGTCACTATTTAGGGAGAAAGGGGGAGGGGGTAATTTTCCGCTATTAAACCAAATTTGTCGTACAAAAATTATACAAAAAATTACAAAGTTTACTTTTACTACAAGCTACCTAAAGAAAGGATTTTACCAGAATTAAACGACATTTTTTTTCACAAAAAAGATGAAATTGAAAAATACACAATCTTCAAGGCTTCGATAATTCATAGCTTTTCAGTTTGAGGTCTTTAAAAGTTTATTAGATGATATGTATATCAAAAAGATTACTATATTTTTGTGTTAAATGGTTAAAAAATAAGTTAATGAAATTTAACTTTATAGCTAACCTGGCATTTTTGAAAATCAAGGTTTAAGTAGTTAATTGATCAAAAATTTTATCTTCTCTTAAACAACGAAAGGGAGGGTAACTTTTGGAATTTCCTGTCCAAAAACCACTCTAATGATTTTGTCCAAAATGCATACACATAGTAATTAGAGTCGTGTATAAAATATGCAAAAATGCAAAAACTAAAGGACGGGAATTTTTGGAGGTAGGTGTGTTGTACATCCCTAAGGACAATGAGGACTTTATTGATCTCTTTGTGATATTACATCCCAGGCTAAAGATCATGTGCCGAATTTGAAAACAGCTCCCTCATTCTAAAATATCCAAAACGGACTGTGTAAATAAACTTTACCTCAGTTTACAATTGTATTCTATAGTAAACTATAAGCTATTAATAATACTAGACATTTGTATTGAATAGGTTGTAACCTTGATGCGTTGATTAACCATAAATCATGACCATGTAATAATGATATTGTTTTGAAATGATAATTCCTGGTTAAAGTTTAGAATTTATTCAAGTCCAAAAGTACAAAATCAAAATTCACATTTTTACACAAAAATTCCTAAAGTGAGAGTGAATTACAAATAAACTCAGGCACGTCTCATCTTTGACAACTCCTCCCACATTTCATAAATGAACCAATGAAACAAGTTAAAATACAGTAGAAAAGTTTGAGGAAAGCTCAATGACATTAATTTATAACACAGGAAACAATTTGAGTAAGCATAACAAATTCAAAGAAACACCAGTCTAAGATCTGACCATAAACCTGATAACAATTATGAGCTTATAGCATCGATACCGTGGGATGGAGAGAGAGATGTCAAGTTTGAGAAATTACAAACACGTGCAGCAGTGCTCTTTCTGAAGATCAAATAAAACAATTAATTTTCAATTACAAATTCCCAGTACATCAATTATAATATTTAAACAATACCTAAATCATAAGTACATCTAAGAAACTAACAAATTGTCTTTATCAAAAATATGTATTTATACGCATGTATATAACATCCGCCCCCTAAAAAAATTGGCATACAATTTTAAGAATTAAACGATAAAGACAATCATAAAATATGCACACAAAAGAAATGTTATACAAAATGATATTGAAGAAAATATAATACATGTACAAGAAGAAGAATGCATTCTAGTAATGAAATCAGAAGTGAATAAAATGTTTTTGAAGCATGTATTCACCATTCATTGGTACCATCAAACACTCTCACATTTATACAAACATAATATTCAAATCAGAGTGCATCATAAGAACTTATAGCGTGCGCTGCAATGCATAGTAAAAAAATGTAAACAACAAATTCTCGAATATGGTTGTTCAAAGTATAACCTGTATGGAATAACACATCCGCGGTTAGAATAAATCATACCACTTTCAAATAAAGATAATACAATATTCAATTACATAATTGCATAATGTATAACCCTGTTGGAATAAAACATCCTTGGTTAGATATCAAACCAACACAAAATGTTTATGTTACACGATGTATGCCACAAATACTGCATACTAATACTATGTAGAATTGCATAAGGTATAACCCTGACGGAATAAAACATCCTTGGTTAGAAAAAGCAATCACGAATAAAGTTTTTTTTTTCTGAGTATGAAATTGATTTAAAAGGTAATTTGAAATATTGATCATTGTGTTTTAAATGAAAAATTTTAATATGAGCAAAAGTTTATCAAATCGACTTTTATTAGATGTTTTAAAAGAAATGTTGAATACATGTATATGGAATCATTGAATAGCTCAGATTGATTAAAGAGATTTAATTTGAATTCACTTGTGTACATTTTAGAATATTTATAACATTTATTCAATTTCTTACTATAAATCAAATAAGAAATTGAAATGTCAAACAAAAAAGCAAAGGAAATAAAAAAAAAAATATTTACTTAATTTGTGATCAAGCTAGAGTTTGTTTTTTGTCATAAATAGCAGGCTAAACTTATATCTTTAACAAAATATGCAATGCCATAAGAATTTCTAAAGTAAACTTTTTTGTAGTGTATCAGAAACCCTTGGCTAGCAAAGATGCTAAACAGACGAAAGTATTTTTAAATTCTATTTTTATTTTTATTATTTCCATATTTATTTATTAAATGGCTGCATGCCGGATGCATTGACAAAAGACAGTTAAGGAGAGTTTATGCTTATAACCTCATCACATTTAGCTTGCTATTGGAATATTTTTCATTTTTATGTTGATTGATGTTTTTATACTTTTTTCCCCTTATTTTTCGATTTCAGAACACTGTACACGCCCAAAATACGTTTTTCGATGAATATAAGAAAACGTAGCTGCAAAGAATTTTTTTTAATTCCAAGTTATCAGGAGACTATCACCGAACGAAGGATGGAAATAGTGGACAACTACATGTAATATCGGTCGTAGAAAAAAATGAAATACTCGAATATTACAAATGACTAAATTTGTAATGATACCTGTTCTTACAGGCATGTAATTGAATATAAATGTCCGAATTTGGCAAAAAAATGAGTTCAAAACTGTTTTTGAAAATGTCACCTTTTTGATTTTAAATATTGGAGCATTGTTACCCGTGATTTGTTATTAAAAAAGAGATGGTCATTTTATATGTTTTGTCATTTGAAAATATCATAGAAAATTTGATGAATTGTTTTTCAATAAAAATCAGTAAATAGAGAAGATCTGTGTTTACTTTTTCAAAGATCTGCATTTTGCATTCCAAAAATTCTTTGGTTAAAAACATTCTAATCGTACACAAAAATACTCTCAAGATGACATCCAAATTATGCCGATTTTCTGATTGACAATATCTATTTTGGGAGACCATCAAGTATTCAAACAATCTTGAAATTCTCATTAGTACCAAATGCACCTCGTTATTAGTATACTTATTTTTTGTATTCATATGAAGCTGAGTTTGTGTAAAATCTTATGCATGAAAAGGTAAACAAATACTACTGGGGCCTTAAACTAGACGTTTATATACATGTATATTGACGGCGTTTTGGCAATCAACAATGGTAATTTCCATTCTTATGTCGAAAGGATATATCCTTGTGAGCTTGAGATAAAAGATATCACAGAGTCTGACACTTTCCTTACAATATACCTTCATCACATGCATACGGAGTTTATATGACTCAGTTGAATCGATATGCAAGAGCATGCTCTACGTATAAATATATATAAACAATTCTAAAATGAGGTTAATTATTGTCAATCAAGTTCATGAAACAAGAATATCAGTAGTCTCGTCACTATTTAGGGAGAAAGGGGGAGGGGGTAATTTTCCGCTATTAAACCAAATTTGTCGTACAAAAATTATACAAAAAATTACAAAGTTTACTTTTACTACAAGCTACCTAAAGAAAGGATTTTACCAGAATTAAACGACATTTTTTTTCACAAAAAAGATGAAATTGAAAAATACACAATCTTCAAGGCTTCGATAATTCATAGCTTTTCAGTTTGAGGTCTTTAAAAGTTTATTAGATGATATGTATATCAAAAAGATTACTATATTTTTGTGTTAAATGGTTAAAAAATAAGTTAATGAAATTTAACTTTATAGCTAACCTGGCATTTTTGAAAATCAAGGTTTAAGTAGTTAATTGATCAAAAATTTTATCTTCTCTTAAACAACAAAAGGGAGGGTAACTTTTGGAATTTCCTGTCCAAAAACCACTCTAATGATTTTGTCCAAAATGCATACACATAGTAATTAGAGTCGTGTATAAAATATGCAAAAATGCAAAAACTAAAGGACGGGAATTTTTGGAGGTAGGTGTGTTGTACATCCCTAAGGACAATGAGGACTTTATTGATCTCTTTGTGATATTACATCCCAGGCTAAAGATCATGTGCCGAATTTGAAAACAGCTCCCTCATTCTAAAATATCCAAAACGGACTGTGTAAATAAACTTTACCTCAGTTTACAATTGTATTCTATAGTAAACTATAAGCTATTAATAATACTAGACATTTGTATTGAATAGGTTGTAACCTTGATGCGTTGATTAACCATAAAACTTCGATTTTTTATTAGATCTAAAATCATAGAACTTTACACCATTAACTAACATTATGGACATTTTAGTAACAAGAAAAATACTGCGAGGAACTGTAGTGAAAACATTGTTTTACACGAAAATTGTATATAATGTATTTTAATATAGTACAGGTGACTCTCGATCTCTCGAAGTTCAAGGGACCGCAAGAAAAGTTCGAGAGATCGAGGGGTTCGAGAGATAGAAAGTATATAAAATCTGGAATTTTCAGTTCCGATCATCGAAGTTCTACTTTTATAGATACCGGAAGTATATGTAAATAAAGTCATTGCACGTTTTCTATCGTATTTTACAGGTAATATTTACTTAATATCAACAACAATGATCGTATTTCGACTAAATAAAACGAATTTTTACAATTCAAATACTTATTTGTTCTTATTTAATGATTACATGAAATCCGAATAGCAATTGTCTGTTTGACTATTCCCCGACTTGATCGGGTCCTTCTCTTGTTCACCAGTGTTCACAAGATTTTTCTTAATCGGTATTTAGTCCTTCAGAAAGGAATTTCTTGTGCAATATTTGCCATACTGGGATTATGTAAAAGTTCAAAGCCTAAGGGAACTGATTGATTTCACTATAAAACACCTATTATGTAGATAATAGCATTTATGGCGATACTTTTCCTGTAAAAATAGTTGCCCCCTTTTGGAACCCCCGTTGATTTAACCCTGTGTTGAGCCCCAGGAAATATGAGCCAAGCAGATGGCGCATTATCCAATGAAAATTAAATAAAGAGCCACGTGGTTTTGTTATTATTGCCAAACATTGATTCGAGGACACACGTTTTTAGCCCTTTGGATTTTAATTGATTTTGCATTTGTATCCATTATTGGACTCTGAAAATTGTAAGTTTTGTTTCTGTTACGAACATTACCGATTGTGTATGATATTACGGACTACTCATTGGTTGCATCATTGGAAAAAGAGATTGTTTATGTGCGGGATTCCAGGGATAGTCGGTCATGGCGGCGGATCAAACAATTTCTGTTGCAATAGTTGGCCATTCTTATGTACGGCGTTTGAAAGTTTATGCAGCTCAACAGAACATTCCTAATCTGCGATTGGACACTGATAAGTTCTTTGTGTCAATTCGAGGAAAAGGGGGTCTGTGTTTACGGCATCTTCGAAGCGATGCTAACATTGTGCATTTTGTAAATGTCCCGGATATTTGTTTTCTACATATTGGTGAAAATGACATTGTTGCTGAAAGTAAGGCCTCAAAAATTGCACAAGACATTTTTTCGCTTGCAAATTATTTACATGAAGGGGTTGGTATTCAAAAAGTAATTATCGGCCAATTACTGCGTCGCCTTCCCTATGCAGCATGTATCAATTTCAATGACACGGTATACGAGGTAAATCGGGCACTACGGGAGATGACAACTGGGTTGAAAGGAATTGTCTACTGGCCTCACCGGGGGTTCTGGAATAGCCTCTCATATCTGGGACCAGATGGAGTACATCTGCAGTGCACACCGTCCAATGATCAGCCAATGAGGAAGTTTCTGCGCAGTATACGCAGTGCCATCATCATCACTTCAAAGGAAATTAGGCCAGTATAGCTAATGATTCAGTACTGAATTAAGTACCATTGTCTGGATATTTGATCATACATTTCTAAGTCATTAATGATGGTTGACTGTAGATAGTCTCATTCAATATTTATTCTAATTCAAAAAAAAAAAAAGGGTACAAAAGTTTAATGTTTGGCAATCTTTCTTATGTTTGATATAAGCATTCAGTGATGATAGTTAGTATACTGGGCATCATTTAGTAGAACAAAGTGTTCCTCGTAGACATCCTGTTTGTTATCTCATTATTTTCCTATCGTTTGACGCAATTTCATGGTTAAATTCAATGTACATGTCATAAATGTAGAGAACAGTTGTTTCAGTTGCTGTGATAGACATAACTATTTCTGCTTTATTATAGATTATAATACCAGTATGACATGTTGGTTGCTACTTGTAGTAAAATTTCAGTTCAGATGTTTTAGCAGATTGTTCTTGGGAAACATTTAATATAATGTTTCAACATTTTACTTGGGAATCTTATATATTGATAGAACATTGAGTATAATGTTTCAAAAGTTTGCTTCAAATACATTCTGTTTATTGTTTTACCAGGTTTTCTTTGGGAATATAAAGTATATAATGTTTCGACAGTTTTTCCTTTAGAAGCATTCAGTATAATGCTTCAAAATTTTTTTTATTTGAAAACATTCTGGATAATGTTTCAGGAGCATTCAGTATAATGTTCCAACAGTTTTTCTTTTGAAACATTCAGTATAATGTTTCAGGAACATTCAGTATAATGTTCCATCAGTTTTTCTTTTGAAACATTCAGTATAATGTTTCAGGAACATTCAGTATAATGTTCCAACAGTTTTTCTTTTGAAACATTCAGTATAATGTTTCAGGAACATTCAGTATAATGTTCCAACAGTTTTTCTTTTGAAACATTCAGTATAATGTTTCAGGAACATTCAGTATAATGTTCCAACAGTTTTCTTTTGAAACATTCAGTATAATGTTTCAGGAACATTCAGTATAATGTTCCAACAGTTTTTCTTTTGAAACATTCAGTATAATGTTTCAGGAACATTCAGTATAATGTTCCAACAGTTTTCTTTGGAAATATTCAGTATAATATTTCAACATTTTGTTTCATTCAATAATTGGTCAGTATTATATTCAAAATACTAATTTAACTTAAAGGTTTCAGATTATTATGTTATTTAAAGTTATTATTTGTGGTACAATTCCAGTCCTTCAGTGTGGCTAAAATGATATGTATATGGGCATATATATATGGTATTTCAGTTATAGCAAAGATGCCAAGAGGCAATCCAGGTGTAAAGCGCAAGGCGACAACGGAAGCCACAAGATCTAAAAAGAAAACACCCGTAACAGTAAGAAGTACTCCGTCGGAGGCTCAGGAAAGGGACGTGGACCCACCGATGACCTTAAATGCCTTGTCCTCGGCAATAAACTATGAGGAACTGGCAAAGCATATCGTGAGGGAACAGGACAAAGTGAGAGCATCCCAGTCCACAGTCTCGGCTGTCGCTCAAGACACAGTGAACTCCACCACAACAAATAATGTCAATCAAACTGCCACGCAAAATCCAGAAGGATCTCAGACTCCAACCAACGCAGCTAAAGAAAGTGGTTCCTCAGGTGCGGTCCAGGCCAGCATACCTACTTCTAATGCTCAACTCGCCGACGCTTCCAAATCAACACCTGAAAACTCGGACAATGTTAACACAATTTTAGATGCTATTTTTATGCGAGGTGAGTCAGCACGCACTATTACCCCCATTACAATACAAGATAGTATACCATTAGGGGCAACCATATCATCAAAAATTAAGAGTAAAATTTGGTCGAATGAATTTATTGATTTTAAAACATTGCTCCCTAACCAACCTGAAGACCCTCTTTCCATAACAATTAAAGCTGGCAAAATTGATGTGGAACACACTCAAAAACAAAAATCTCCCCTAACCATTAACCAATGGACGGATGCATTTTTCACCTTTGCATGCATTTACTTACAAAAGAATCCTAATGATGCATGCCACCTTTTTAAGTATTGCCATACTATTAGAGAGATGAGCAGAATGCATGTGGATGAAGCTTGGAGAAGCTATGACGAAACCTTTCGAAAATTGAGGGAGTCCTCTCATCTTCCCTGGGAACAACCCATTAATGAGCTTAGGTTAAAAGCAGCAGCTATGGGGTCTAAATTCCAACAAAATCAAACCAATCAGTTTCAGGGAAGAAAGAATCCTTTTCGTACCCAACGTGTGTGTTTCGCATACAACAGAGGAGAGCAATGTAATGCATCCACATGTAGATATGCCCATGTTTGTCAAGAATGTTCATACAAGCATCCCCGAACAAAATGCTATGTTAAAGATAGGACAAAATCTAGTCAATCCCACACCTCTCCCAACCCCAGTAAGACCACTACCCCTTCAAAATGAATTACAGGGCTATGACAAGGGAAAATCTCAGTATCTAGTAGAAGGATTTACTTCTGGGTTTAGATTAGGTTGTGTTGGTTCCCCCTCTAACTCATCCCTACAAAATCATAAATCTACACAGGATCATCCTACAATCATTGATGAACATATTTTAAAGGGTCTACAATCTCAAAGAATAGCTGGGCCATTTGATGGCCCACCATTCCCAGATTTTATTTCATCACCACTTGGTCTGGTCCCAAAGTCAGATCCAGGGAAATTCAGAATTATCCACGATTTATCCTTTCCTGAGGGGTATTCTGTGAACTCATTTATTCCTAGGGAGAATTCAGAAGTTCAGTATGATACAATAGATAGGATTATTTCATTTGTACAAATTTTTGGTGAGGGTGCCTTGATGGCAAAGTCTGACATTAAGGATGCTTTCCGCATTGTTCCCATACATCCCCTAGATTATCATTTACTTGGGTTCACTTGGAATAAGAAATTCTATTATGATCGTTGTCTCCCGATGGGAGCAAGTAGTTCTTGCAAAATATTTGAGGAACTTAGTCAGGCCTTGGTATGGATAATGTATAATAAATATCATGCTTCTGGAATATCTCATATTCTTGACGATTTCTTCTTTATTGCATCTAGTGCTTCAAAGTGTAGTGAAGATCTAGCCCGTTTCCTCTTCTTATGTAAGAAAATCAATATACCCATTAACATGGAAAAGACCATGGCACCTACAACTCGGTTGACCATATATGGTATTGAGGTTGATTCCATTTCCATGGAATGCAGATTACCACATGAAAAAGTTGCAAAGATACGTGATAAACTTAGTGGCTTTTCTAAAAAGAAAAAAGTACAATTACGAGAATTACAGTCCTTAATAGGTTTGTTAAATTTTGCTTGTTCAGTTGTTGTACCGGGGAGGGCTTTCTTGCGGAGACTTATTGACCTTACTTGTGGCATCTCAAAACCTTACTACTGGGTACGTCTCACAAAAGAAACAAGGGCTGACTTAAACATGTGGTTGCAGTTCGTATCGCACTTCAATGGAAAATCAGTTTTTCTTGCCGAAAATTGGGATTCTTCTGAATTTATCAGTTTATACACAGATGCATCAGGGTCTATTGGTTTTGCGGCTGTACTAGGAGAACATTGGTTTGCTCAACAATGGTCAGATGAATTATATCCCTTTCAAATTGCTATCAAAGAATTATTCCCCATTGTACTGGCTTTAGAAATATGGGGCAGTCAACTGCGGAACAAACGAATACTCTTTCTAACAGATAACATGGCTATTGTTCAAGTCATAAATAAACAGTCAAGTAAAGATAAAACTATTATGAGACTTGTAAGAAGACTTGTTCTTGCTTGTCTTTATAACAACATACATTTCAAAGCAAAACATATCAAGGGCAAGTTGAATGTCATTGCAGACAAGTTATCCCGGTTCCAATTTCAGGCTGCCCGGCAGTTGGCACCACATCTGATGGAAGATCAAACACCCATACCAGACTGTCTGCTGCACATTTGACCAGTGAGGCACAATCTCTACTCTCGGCATCATTATCATCTTCCACACAAGCAGCATACAGAAGATCATGGCAGCTCCTTCAATCATTTCAAGCTAATACATCATTACCATTACAGGTGGCAGATATTTGCAACTTCATTGCTCATCTGCATGGCTCCCATTTTAGTGCAAGTACAATATCTTCTCATATATCAGCACTAAGCTATGTTCACAAGCTGCTTGGTTTACCTGACCCTACACAAATGTTTATTGTCAAAAAAATATTAAGAGGTTGTCACAAATTGTCTCACACTGCAGATTCACGCCTTCCAATTACTTTAGATATTTTAGAACAAATTATTAAAGCTCTGCCAATTACTGTCCCTGTTTTGGACCATCATATCATGTTAAGAGCCCTTTTCTTACTCTGTTTTCATGCATTCCTTAGGATGGGTGAGGTGACTGTGAAGCAGGGTGCTGCCCACAACAAGGTCATTCAGGTGCAAGATATAACATTTCAATTCAAAAGGCAAAAGCCCTGCAGTGTTCAGTTAGTTTTGCGTCACTTTAAAACTCAAAAGATGAATGAGCCTATAATAATTTGCTTAGAGAGTTCGGCCAATTCAGAAATATGTCCTGTCAATGCATTATATGTTTATCAGTCTCAATATTCACATCGCTCAGGCCCACTTTTTCAGTTTAAAGATGGCACACCACTTTCATATAATTATGTTTCCAAGCAACTTGCAGCCTCAGTAAAATTTACAGGTCTGAATCCAGCATTATACAAAGGTCATAGTTTCCGAATTGGAGCTGCAACTTATGCTGCTCAAAAAGGGTACTCCGAGAATTATATACAGCAACTGGGTCGTTGGAACTCTAATGCTTTGAAGCGTTATATTCGAATCCCTGCTTTCTCTGTTTGATATCCTTGTCCGTAGTTACATGTACTACCCAATCTAATACTTGATAATAGGTCAGTGTTTTACTGCTATCTTACTAAAAAGAAATATACTAGCTAGTACATGTATGAAATAATGATATGCACAACTTGCTTGTACAGGACAGTGTATTACTGCTGCTAGGAATGTGTCACATAGCACCATGCATGAATCCCTACCACGGTTTATTTTTATTGTTTTTTTTTCCACGCAGGGCAGTGTTTAACTGCTGTATTCATCATTCTAATGGTCATGATTTTTCTGATATGATAAGAAAATATTCAGGTCAGTGTTTTACTGCTGTAGTCATTGTTATCTACGGTATATTCAGTGTCAAAGTAAATTGAATGCTACTGGTCAGTGTTTAACTGCTATAACCACATTTACCGTGTAATATTATTATGGTCAATTTAAATTTGGTTCCTTAAGGTCAGTGTTTAACTGCTAAAACAACCTATTGTAGTAAATTAAAGGTCTCCCATTAATGTGCTGGCTCACCAATTAATTAAGTACATTTTTCAAATTTCAGTTCGCTTTATCTATTCTCAAAGTTTATTATGTTAATGAATTGCAGCTCACCTTGGATGGCGTGGGATATGATCTGATGATCATATCTTTGGCCGTATTTGTCGCCATCTTTTACTTTTTGTAAGCCGTATGTAATTTTTTATAAAAGTTTATGTTGTATCTAATCAGAACTAAAGTTTTCTTTGTGACCTATTTTCTATGGGGGAAATCAGAACGTATGTGTTCATATCTTGTAAAATGTATATATTTATATGTGCGTGCAAAATGTTTGTTTTGTTTTTTGCTGATTTCCCCCCTTGTTTGTAAAACTTAATTTTTCGTCATTTACTATTGAATAAATGACATTTTCATTCTCACAGATATTTGTCCTGTCGTAATTGAAATAGAATTCTGAGCAAAACAAAGCTGCGGTGAGCTGTTTGTATCTAGGAAATAGTGAGAGACATAAATTACTTTCTAAAAATTATCGTCTCGTTTTCAAGTCAAAATAAGTTGTGAATTTAAAAAACAGTTTATAATTTACCAATAATAATCAATGGATTAAATCAACACACGGACTACCCACAGGTGAAGGGTCATCTATGTAAACACCCAATTAACACCTCAACGCCAAGCCCCAAGTGTTCACTGTTTTCCAGGTAAGTTCAGGCTGCGTCAATTTTACGCTTGATTGGCGTGTATACACACGCAAACAAAACTTCGAGAGATAGGTAGTAAAAATCATTGAAATATGTGTAACGGGACCCATGTTTTGGTTCGAGATATGGAGAACTTCGAGAGAAAGAAGTTCGAGAGATTAGGAGTAAATTTGCTTAGTTATATAGAGGAAAAAACGGGACCGGAGGTTCACTTCGAGAGATCGGAGTTCGAGCCATCGAGAGTCACCTGTAGTTTTCTATGGTATGTTTTGGTTTCTGTGAGTTGATACAAATGTAATTAATGTCATCCATGTGTTGAATTTTGTGTCACAACATATAAGTTGAAAAATACTGAATTGTTAAGCTTGATAAAACTAAATTTATAGTAACAGACATACAAAATACGTCAAAGCTTTGTTTTCAAGGCATTTGTGTTTATTCCTTGTCTATCCAAATTTCAAAACATAGGGAACGTCTCTTCTAGAGAATGGGCTGCCCCAGTATGCTTTCAACCTCCTGTAAATTTACATACATGTAAGTTGTAAAATGCATAGCTGATTGGTAATAAGTGATTTATAATAAAATAAAATGAAAAAAGTTATAGTAACATAATATTTTTTTTAAAATAGATAGAATCCACTAACTGAAAATATTGTATGCCTATATGATATATTCTTACTCCAAATCCAACCGACCCCCATGTCTCACTCCATCTGAAATCCATTGTCTCACTTCATTTAGAAGTCCATGTTGGTCTTCATCCACTGAAAAATATCTTTACAATTGAAGTGCATGCAAATACTAAATATTTTTGTTTCCATGTTTTACGGTCAGACGATACGTTCCTCGAATAAAATTTCGTATACCTTGGTATTATGTAATATTATTCATACATATAATGATCATTCTATTGTGATTTCTAAATCGTGTGCAATGTGTTTTAAAAAATAAGCACAATTAAATGGTGACATTATCTATTCTAAAGATTACCCATTAGGATTTTATAATAAAATCACCTTCCTGTATCTTGCCTAATTTCCCCGGTAAAGTACCTCATTTTTTTGGTTAGGAAACTTGTTTAAATACTTTTACTTCAATGACAAATTCTTGGGGAAAATTATATATTTTCGAGAAACGTGTCGTCTGACCATAACGCATTATAACTATTTCATTTGATTCCAAGACTGAAATAAAAATTGAAAAGGGAAGGCTGGAGATTGTTTCATATCCACGACCTACTGTTGATATATAAAAGAAAGGAAGAGGGATTCGATAAATATCAACACAGGATAAAATGTGTGCACAACGATACATAATTAATATTAAGTAATCTGTATCAAACGTTATTTCAAAATGTGTACCGGAGACAATTTCTTATATTGTCTTAGATTGATATTATGAAAATAGTTATTCTTCAATGATGAAAGTGACTCTTCTACATGTAATTGGATCTGCTAATTGTAGTGGAATTTTATCTAATTTTTATTGATTTCTTTTCTAATCAAATGTATATACATGAACTCGCTAAATATAAAATGACTTATTAAGCTTTTAGATTAAAAAATATACATACATGAACTTTTCAAGTATAAGGTTTTCTTATTGTGCTATTATAAAACAGTTATTCTTCAATGATAAAAGTGAAATTTGGATCTACTAATTGTAGAGGAATTTTATCTCATTTGTATAGTTTACATTACTCTTCTGACAGCAGAAGACTTCATAATGAAATAAACAGTCAAATTAAAAATTGAAAAAAAAAGTTCACTCATTTTTATAGCGAGAGAGAAAGAGAGAGAGGGAGAGAGAGAGAGAAATGCTTTCAAATAATATTTACCAAACCGTTTTTCACGTCCGATCAGTCCTGAAGATATTCCCCTTGCAGTTGACAGGGACAAATACAATTGCATACAGATCTAACAAATAAAAATTCGTGAACATAGGAGTTAAAATTTTAAGAACATTTTTCAACCTTTAAACATAGACTCTAAGACTTATTTCTTATAAAACGTAAATGTTTTTGTTGTTAGTGTTGTTTGTGTCTTTTAAATAAATGCAATTTTCACTGATTAGATAACACACAATACCGAATAACAATCTATTTAAATTTAAGACCGTTAATTAGTGGTGCATACAGACGCATGCCGTGTGAGGAAATCTTAAGAAAGAAAAATTGACAAAGGTCAAGGATATGCATATTTAGGATGCAATTGATTTTTTTTTTAAATCAAATTCCTTGATATAAAAGTGCTGGGAGCAACATTTTTTTTAATGCTGTCACATTATGTACAGTTTATCCTCTAATGCATGTTGAAATACTTTTAAATTTAGGAAAAATCAACAGCATACAAAGAGCTCTGAGTACTTTTCAAAAGTATAGGTTTTATAGCTACACGCGTTTAAAACCTAATAATCTATAATGATGTAAATTGTTAAACTTCTGAGATTTATATGGGTTGTACAAGTGTACCTAAAAATCGCTTTATTTCAAGTCTATATTATTTATTTTCAACTGCGTCACACAAGTTAGATGAGTATTTTATTGACCATGTCTCAATTTTCGTCCAATCACATTTGTTTCATTTTTCTTGGGTACAGGTGTTTAGTACAGGGAGAAAACCGAGTTTCAAATCAAACTGTTACGTTATATCAATACATACCGCCAACTAAAGCTGGTTTTAATTATCTAGATTTGTTTGAAAGCTGATTTAATACAAAAGATCATACATCTCGTCTAAGCACGTACTAAAAATAAGACAAACTATTGACAAACAATTTGATGAAAAAGGAGGGCATCACCGATTAGGTTTATAGTAATTATTTAGCAAAAATGCATTGTTAGACTTCATGAACTTGTCTGCCTAGTTTATACGCGAAATGTCAACAGTTAAACTCCAAAGCTACAATTACTCGAGATAGCATTAGACTAATTCAAAGCTCCTATCTTTAATCAGTACTTAGACAATTATAAGTCGTCAATAAGCTCTGTTTAAAAAAGGTATTTTAACTTATGCGTAGAGGTTTTTTATAAATATGATTCTAAAACTGCTATATATCCAAACAATACTCGTAGAAAAATAGACAAAAATTGAAAGAAAAAAAATAGCAAAGTTATTACTTACTATCAAGTAAATACAGAGATATCGCATCTTGTCTCACTGCTTGAGAACAGTTGATGAACATCACCCTTCAGAATACCTACTTATATATCCCAAAGCTCTAAAAATGCAGTGCTCTACAATATCATGATGTTTGCAGTATTTTGAATCAAAATATCTGAAATTAGCATGCTTGAAGTAAAATGTTTACAAATTGATTCCACGTTTTGTCAATAAGCGGTCTTATGTTTCTATTGTTAACCATCTGTTTCTTGTTTTCCGTTCAGACTATTTCTAGGAAAGCAATCGTTAAAAAATGAAATACGTGAGACTTATGCAACTGAATAAAATCGGTCCAGCTTGAAGCACAAGGGAGCAGAAAAATCAGCGTTTTCAAAAATGGACATTTACTAACTTTTAAAAATGTACAGTACCTCGGTCTTCAATATTCCCTGTACAGTTCAACACAACAATAAAATATATTTTTTTCCCAGAATGAGACATGTCCGTCTAGCTGTCCGTTAGTCAGACTCTTTTACGTAGTTTTTTTTTTTTTTCACATTTCACGTTAACTTAAATTTTTTTGGTGCTTGAAGTGTACCTTGAAGAAATACATATCAAGCATGCATTGTTTTCTTTTGGAGTTGCGTCTTATTGAAATTCTTTATTGCATTTTTGAGGGGAATAAATTTGCACTTTGCAAGTATTGCTTCTTTTATACTCTCAGAAATTAAGCTTGTTATATTGAACAGTGATGAATTTAAGTAGTTATTTAATTATTCATCGTCTTTTTAGTACATGTACCATTTTCTTTTCAATTTAATCATGCACATTAAGAAATGGTTTCATTATGCCTATGTAGTCATAAAATACTGAATCCTAAACAGAGAGAAGGAAAATGGAAAAATACAAACAACATGCGTTTACTTTTATCAAACTATATTTATATTTAAATATAAATGAAGTGTATTAAATTGAATATAGATACTGATTTATACAATATAATGTTAAATATTATGTCCTCATTATATAATTTTATTTACATATGTATTCGAACGCATCTTCGAAGAAGGTACTGCTGTTTTGGCTAATGGGTTGACATACACAGTGAATTCACAAGAAAATTGCATCCCTATTTAATTTCATAAGCACAGGATTAAATTCAAACAGCATGTTTTTACGATTGCTAATAATAATGCACAGATATCGACAGTGCAACTTTTAGGAACTGTATATGTAAATGTATACGTTGAAACGGTGTAAAAATTCACAATCGAGTATGTTTCTCAAATTCGTATCAAATGATTGTATCACTTAATTTATAATATAATACTTTTATTTAATTACAACATTATTTGTGAACATTTAAGCTAGTTGTTGATGTTATTTATTGCATATAGTACTAAAGAACAACATTAAATGACGTCATAATGTGCACCGGCTATTGCGTGACCTGGGAAAGAAATAGATTTACATGTGTAACTCTTGTTTAATGTCAATATTATATTGTCACCAAACTTTATTTATTTTGCACAGAATTCGCATGTTTACATCCAGGTGCTTCTTTATATCGATTTTTTGTAAGAAACAAAGCAAAAATTGACAAATTTTGATTTGAATTA